CTGCGACCTAAAAACAACTCCGACACGTGTTTTTACAACTTTTTTAATATATATTTTTATAAACAGGTCACGTGATAAAATAGCACAAGAAACACTTACCAAATATAAGGTTATATCTTCCGCATATACAGGAGAATGAGGTCGTAATGTACAATAAGAAAATGATTTTAGGGGTGGTTGGTTCTGTTTGCCCTCTCCCCTTAAGTTTTCCTCCTACAGTTGCTGCAGATATCACAGCTTCAGTTGCATTAATACTTTGGACAAATGAACAACTGCCCCTGCCCACTAGGAAGCTGTGGGAGGAGGGGCCGAGACTGGCCGGGCCACTTCCCTCCGCCCGCCCGGGCCACCCGGGGCCTGTGGGCCGGGAACGGTTCTGACTGTTCTGCGCATCGGTCTGGCTCGCTCCAGCTCTCGCTCTCGGTCGCTCTCTGGCTCTCTGGAAACTGGTTACTCTTTCCAACCAGGTCGGGGGATGTCCCAAGACTGGGTGTGGGTGCTGTGTCTCCTGGGGCTCGAGGTTGGAATGGAAAGGGGTCCCAGCCCCCTCCTCAGCAACTGCCACGGTGCCAGCACCCACCACCACCTCCAGTATCTCGGACGGGTCAGGACCGCTCAGACCCCGTTAGGGTTACGCAGCAGCGGGGGGGGGGGGGGCAGCGGGAAGGGGCCTCCCTCCTCTGGGTACTGGGCCTGGGGCCACTGGAAGATTGGAGCTGCTGTCGGCCCTGAGCGCGGACCTGCCCATGCTCAGCGGCCTGGGCCCAGCTGGCAGCAGGGACGGGGCGGCCTGTAGGCTCTCAGGGCCGGCTCTGACTGGAGCACCCCCCCTGGAGGTGGGCTCGGTTCCCGTGGCTAACAAGGTCCGTGCGGAGATGCCCCCTTCCAGCTCAGTCTGGCCCTGCCCCTGCTCATGGTCCCGGCAGACTGCCGGTGGGCTGGGCGAGCAGGGCATCTCCTCTGCAGTGCCAGGAAGAGGGAGGCGCTGGGATCTGGCTGGCGCGAGGTGGGGGCAGGGCAGGGCAGGCGGGCTCCTCGGTGGGCCATGGCTTGGGCGGTGGCCTGGTCCCCTCGCAGCCCTTGGCGGGCTCCAGGCGCGGTACAGTGGAAGATGTGAGAAGCCCTTGGGCTCTTCCGGGCCTCCATGTTCTTAGGGACCCAGCTCCACCCCCCCCCGCCCCCCCTGGGCCCTGCCCGGGATGGGGGGACAGGGGCGGGGAGACTGAGCGCGGGTGTGGCAGCAAAGACGGTCAGGACGGCATCTGGCTTGCGCTTTCCGAGCGCCCGCAAG